TCCTACACCGCCTGTGTTCCTCGGGCCCCGATTTCAGGCCCACCAAGGGTCCATTTCTAGTTTTTGGGCCGTACTGTCTTTGCCGCCTTCCGCACAACCTGGTCTTTGCTCAGGGCGCAGGTGTCTCCACCCTTTGCTTCGGAGCCTTCGCCTTTGACTTCCCACCGCTCCTATGCGAGCTCATGGGTAGGCCTTCGCCCGTCCCGTCGGTTGCAGGCGGAGGCCTCGTCGTGGCCAGCGAAGGCTCTACGGGATCGCCTTCTAGGTCCCCTGTGTGGACCTCCGCCTTCGCCTCCAAGGTCTTCGCGCCATCTTGGCCTTCGAGCGAAGGCTCTCCACCGGGTGCTTCTGCAAAACATCCAAAGATGACCCGAGGTTGTTGAGCGATGTTAGCCTTAGCCTCTGCGAATCCGTATTCTAGTGTCCCAATAGGTGAAGAGGTCCAAGCGAGGTGTTTCGGTGAAGGCGTCCGAAGTTGAAACTGTTGAAGCGGGGCTGTCGGAATAGCCCTGCACGCCCCAATGAAGATAATAGCTTGGAACTGCCGGGGGTTGGGAAACGCCCCGGTAGTTCAGGGGCTTCTTCGGTGCCATAAAGCCGAAGAAGCTAACATTATTTTCTTGTCGGAAACAAAACTAGACAAGAAGAGGATGATTGTGCTAAAAAAGAAGTTGGGTATGGAGAATTTGCAGGTGGTGGATTGTGAAGGAAAAGGCGGGGGGCTTGCTGTGTTGTGGAGGAGAGGAATCAGTGTGGTTTTGAAGAGTAAATTGAAAAACCACATTGATGTGGAGGTCCTAGAGACTGGTGGACAAAAATGGCAATTTACTGGGATTTGTGGTGAACCCGAGTTGAAGTACAAAACTTGGGAACTTATGGAGTGGTTGAAGGACCAAGATAATGAACAACTCCCCTGGCTGTGCGCGGGAGATTTCAATGAAGTCCTCTTTCACCATGAGAAGGAAGGGGGGGTTCCATGGGCTCAATCTTGTGCTTTGGAGGTATGTGAACTCGATGATCTTGGTTTCTCTGGTGACATTTTCACTTGGAGAACTAAGCAAACCACAGGTAATACACATATAAGGGAGAGGCTCAATCGAGCAGTGGCAAATGCGAGATGGCGTATGAAGTTTCTGCTTATGCATGTGAAAAATGGAGATCCCTATCACTCGGATCATAGGCCTGTAGTGCTGTCAACTGAGATGATCCAAAGGGGTGAAGGAGGTGGATGTGGTTTCAAATTTGAAGCGAGTTGGATCAAAGAGGAGGGTTGTCGAAAAATTATTGAAGAAGCGTGGGAGCTGAGAGAGGGCGCTGGGTGCTGCTTAGGCGAGAGCCTTAGAGGAGTAGCGGCTAGTCTGAAGGATTGGAGAGTGAATGTTTTGGGAGATTTAGAAAAACGTTTAAAGAAGACAAAGAAGGAGCTTGAGAGATGGAGGAGAGAGCCAATTAGTGATGAGTCGGTCAGGAGGGAGGCGATCTGGAGTTACAAAATGGACCAGCTAGAGGAACAAATTGATATCTATTGGAGACAGAGAGTTCATGTGAATTGGCTGCAGTTCGGGGATCGAAACACGACTTATTTCCATAATGCGTGTTCAGCTAGGAGGAGGAGGAATAGAATTGGTAGTTTGTAGAGGGACAACGGGAGTTGGGTGTCTGATGAGGAGAAGAAGGTGTTTATCTCTAACTATTTCTCCCAGCTTTTCAGGTCAAGTGTGGGAGGCAACGGGGAGCACTTACAGCAACTCCTAGCTGCAGTGCAACCTGCTGTCACTCCAGAAATGAATGCCATGCTTACTGCAGAGTTTACTGCAGAGGAGATCAAGGGTGCACTGGATGTCATTGGTGACCTGAAAGCTCCCGGTCCAGATGGAATGCCAGCCATATTTTTCAAGCAATATTGGGACGTCGTGGGTGAGCAGCTTACCAAGGAGGTGATGACTGTGCTGAGAGGGGGCCGAATGCACCAAGGGTGGAATGACACGATCATCTCGTTGATTCCGAAGGTGGAGCGGCCACAAAAGGTTACTGATCTACGACCCATCAGCTTATGTAATGTGGTATACAAGGTTATTTCAAAAGTCCTGGCCAACAGACTAAGGGGTGTATTACCTGATATTATTACTCCTAACCAAAGTGCTTTCGTACCAGGAAGATTGATATCCGACAATATTCTTATAGCTTATGAGTTAACCCATTATTTGTTGAATAAGAGAAAAGGTAATTTGGGTTATGCTGCCATCAAATTAGATATGAGCAAAGCCTATGACAGGGTTGAATGGTGCTTTTTGGAGAAAATGATGCAACATTTGGGGTTTAATGAGCAGTGGATCTCTTTGATCATGGAGTGTGTAACTACAGTGAAGTATCAGGTAAAGGTGAATGGTGAGCTTACAAACAGTTTTACTCCTGAAAGAGGGCTGCGGCAGGGGGATCCCTTATCTCCCTATTTATTCCTACTTTGTGCCGAAGCATTTTCAGCCCTGCTGAAAAAAGGGGAAGCGGATGGATTGATCGCTGGAGTGAAGGTCTGCCATGGTGCACCAAGCATATCATACTTATTGTTCGCCGATGACTCACTAATTTTGATTCGAGTGAATGAGGGGGATTGCGGCCACCTGCAGAACATACTCCAACTCTATGAAGATTGTTCTGGCCAAGTGATAAACAAAGCAAAGTCAACAATTCTGTTTAGTAGGAACACAAAACCGGACCAGAGGAAGAAGGTGTGTGACTTACTACAAGTTACAAAAGAGATGATGAATGAGAGATTTTTGGGTCTGCCGGTGCATGTTGGGCAGTCCAAGATGAAAACCTTTGCTTATCTGAAAGATCATATTTGGAAACGAATGCAAGGATGGAATGAAAAATTCCTTTCATGGGCAGGCAAAGAGATTTTGATCAAGGCCGTTGCTCAAGCTATCCCTACATTTGCGATGGGCTGCTTTGATCTCTCTAAATCCTTGTGCGATCAAATTGGTGCTATGATTTGCTGGTTTTGGTGGAATCACCAGGAAGGAAAACATAAGATCCATTGGTTGAGTAAGGAACAGATGCTCAAACCGAAAGAAGAAGGAGGGCTGGAGTTTAGAGATATCCACCTATTCAATTTGGCATTGCTCGCTAAGCAAGTCTGGCGACTATGGCAGCAACCGGACTCCCTGTGCTCGCGGGTTCTGAAGGCCAAATACTTCCCCCATACATCCGTTCTGGAAGCCAAGCCAAAGACGGGGATGTCTTATACGTGGCGAAGCATTCTTGGTGGACTAGATGTGGTGAAGAAAGGCATGATTTGGAGAGTTGGTGATGGGGCTGGGCTAAATATACGGTCGGATCCTTGGATTCCAAGGGAATTTTCCAGGAGACCGCGAACACCACGAGGCCATATTCTACTCTCGGAGGTGGTTGAGTTGATAGGTCCTTATACCGCGAACACCACGAGACACTTTCTGGGAAGAAGATGCTGAGTTGATCCTTGCGCTACCTGTCCACTAGGGTCGGGACAATAATCTTGCATGGCATTATGACAAACATGGTGTTTTCAGTGTTAAAAGTGCTTACAAAGTGGCCCGAGCTGATTTCTTGAGGAACAAAAGCACCTTTGGACAGCAAGGAGGAAGCAATTGCAATCCTGGCAGTCCATGGAAAAATATCTGGAAGCTGAGATGCCCAAATAAAATCAGGCATTTTCTCTGGCGATTTGCACACAATAGCCACCCTTTGAGATGTAACTTAGCTCGTCGGGGCATGAAAATCTGCACCAGATGCCCAGTTTGCAATCATCTGGGGGAAGATGGAGGCCATCTGTTCTTCAAATGCCGAGTGGCAAAACTTCTCTGGCGTTTGCTGGGCATGGAGGCTGAAAGAGTGGAATTGGCCTCTATTCAAACGGCGCTAGGAGCTGTAGAGTTTATTCTAAAAGCCAGGGAGCACAAGAAATTGCTGATGGTCATTGCATTATGGGTCATTTGGACAGAACGAAATATTATCAGAGAAGAGGGGATGCGGCGAAGTGCCCAGGACCTCGCTAGATGCGTTGAGTTGTATGCCCATGAAAACCTTGAGCAGTCCAAAACACCGGTGGCCAGGCAAAATTGTCGGCGAAGTCACTGGACAAAGCCCCCCTGTGGACATTCTAAAGCTGAATTGTGATGCCTCCTTCCATTATGATTCGGGGTCAGGCAGCTGGGGTGCACTGATCAGAGACAGCGATGGTGATTCGGTGCTGTCAGGAAGAGGACGAATGGACCATGTATTTAGTCCATTTCATGCCGAGCTAATTGCTTGCCTCCAAGGTATTCAAATGGCAGTGAACCTTGGTATTGGTCGGCTCCAGGTAGAGTCTGATGCACAAGAAGTGGTGAAGGCTATAAATTCGGATGTCTATGATATGTCAGTAGTGGGTCATTTGGTTGATGAAATCAAGTGGCTGGTGTTCTCAAATTTTATTTCTTTTGAGTGTGTTCATGTTGGTAGAGATTGTAATAGAGCCGCTCACGAGCTGGCTGCGTTGGGTCATTTGTGTAATGAGGGTGAGGAGGTGATTACCAACTCTATCCCTGATGCTGTACATGTGATCCTTGCTAACGATTTGTTAGCAAATGAGTAATGAAGGAGCCCAGATTTAAAAAAAAAAGAACTGTCACAATACTCACAGTCACAAGTTTGATGTGCAGCCCATAGTTTACCACAGCGGTCACTACACTCTATGGTTATCCGAACAAATGCATCAACTAATGATGGCATACTCTCAAGGACAGGAGTCTTGTTCCAAAAGTCATCTAGACATAGTGCAATCAGATTTGGGGCACATATTTGCATGCGAACATTCTCACAGAATAGGGAATCTGTGATGGTAAGACTTTTAAGGGACTCAGACATGATTTTCGTGGCCAATGAGAGATCACAGAACTTAAACTCCAGGCAATCCAATGCTGGACAACCCGAGAAGTTAAGAAAGCCAGTGAGACACCGTACACCATGAAGCTGTAACCTCGTCAGGTGCTGGGAGACAAGAGGAAGGTCTTCCAGCAAAAGCCATGCAGGTGGAGCTTGAGCACCCGAACTTTGCATGTTACAGCATGCCGAAACCAGAGGTTCACGCGGGGCTCATCGTCACCATCTGAGAAGTCACCAACTCTGAGCTCAAATGCCTGAAGAGGTGATCCTCCACGGAGGAGGAGTAGAGAGTCCACAAATTTCCGGAGAGCATTCACGGATACTGGTTCGATCATGTCAAGGCACCCAAGGCGCAGGCCTGCGGCGAACTTCCAGAGGTAGCGCCAACGCCGGGCTAGAACGGACGTCCGCACGGCATCCTCCACCGGCAGGAGAGACAGAACGTGGTGCATGAGCGCGTCTGGGAGAGCGCCAATCCTGTCGCCGCAGAACTCTGCAGGCTATCCCTCGTCCTCTTTTCGCCTCTTCCATGGAGGCATTCCGTCGAACATGACGCGGGCGCCGACCCTGTGGGACAAAAAAAGGTCAGAAACGCGCAAGAACAGGGAGTCGTATCCTCTTGGGTACACCGGCAGTGGGAAGACGGATACGGAGGGTTTGACCGGCGGCCATCTCACCTCGCCGGAAGCGGCTGCAGGGGTGGTCTCACGGCGAGGAAGAGCTGAAGACGCTAGACTTGCTAGTTGCTAGTCCGAGCAACCAATCTCTGCAGGCACTCCCTGGGCGTGGATTTGGATCAACGGGTGCTGCGAGGATTGACGTGGAGCAGAGCTGAGGCGGGAGTGGGAAAAGGAAGCAGACCAGGGAATGGGGAAAAGGAAAAGACCAGGGAACTGACTGGCAAATTGAGCGGCAGTTTGACAGGCCTCCGGCTCTTGGCTCCGCCTCCGGCTATTTTATTAGGGAGCAGCTTCTCAAATTGATCTGAGGTTGTTTTGAAAAACATTTTGTAAAATAGTTGCAGTATGAAGTTAACTTCGGCTACGGTGGGTTGCGTTCCAGCATAGCAGGTCCCAAATCCTGGTAAAGAAGGAGGAGGGTTGTGTTAGGCTAGGCGAGCCAATGTAAAAACTTAGCTTTTTTTTTATGGAGATGAAACCAAAAAAATCCTGTTGGGACGTAACCCTCTTAGCGACGCGCCATGTCGGAACCCGGGTATAGTGTTAAGACTCGGGGTTCATGTTGAGTTTCAACTCTTGCCTACCCTAACTTAATTAGGACAAAAAAGGCTTTGTTGTGGTTGTTATAGTAGTTGTAGTCTGAAGTTATTTTAAAAATATTTAATAAAACTAGTTTCTATTATAGCTTTGTGACAACGTATGTTAAAGGCACGGCAAAAGCTTTGGTGTGATTTATATTAGACGAAGAAAATAAAAACACAATCGTCGGTCTAGTTTTTTTGAGTGGAAACTGGATCCAAAAACCACCAACTGGGAGAGTACACTACACGACTAAATGCTCAACCTTGAGCCAACTTGGTCAAAAAAACGACCCAACTAGCAACTTTGACTATCTAACCACTAGAGCAACTAAGAACAACTCCACCTAAGAAGACCACTAGCAAAAACGACTTGAGCATCGAGCACCACCACCCTTGAAGAAGCGCCATGGCAGAAGACAAGAGATGAACAACAGAAACTGGATAGCCTAGCAAGACTGCAAGAAGGAAACGACACCAATGGCGTCAACAAGTTAAGCTAGCCCGCCAAGGAAAGTTTTTTCACTTGCAAAATCAAGCATGGTAGGAGAGGTAGAAAAGGATGCCTCCAAGGAGGGAACGGCGTCCGCTGACGTCCTTGTCCAATCTTTTGGTCCAACCTCATGCAACCTCCACATCGCCACCGCCGGAGACTCAGCCCTACCATGGAGGTTGGATGTGGCGAGGGCTTAGCAGCAGCCCCGCCCGACTGCCGCCCCTAGAAACGTCGGCCAGGAGAAGCGTCGGGAGAAGCCCATCGAAACTGCCCTCGCCAAGGCCGGCAAAGCCGGCCAGCAGCAAGCAGCTCCATCTAGCTCCGCCATGAGCAAGGAGGAAGGCAGATGCCGGGATTAAAAGAAGCCCTAGTCGCCCAGCCCACCAACATCCCAACCTCTGTCGAGCAGTCCCAGCATCAACCCACGTCGCGCAGGGCCATCAGCAGCTCCCGCGCTAAACTATCGTCATCTACATGCCGACTCTCTGCCCCTTCGTGGATGTGAGCCAGACCACCGCAAAGTCACTGGATTCGGGCGAAAGGACGCTGACTCCTCGCTCGTGTCCATGCCGGAAGGGCCATGAATGAGCACCGAACCAGATCCACCTCGCATCCTTCACAGATCCAGCCAGGGCAGAGAGGATCCGCCTGCTAGAGCTGACGAAGTCGCCACCATCTGTAGAAGAGTGCACTATTGGGCACTCGCCACCGCACCACACCTGTTGTCGCACCATCGCAACACTAGGCAACGGCCTCCACACCGCTGTGCCGCAACGTACCGTAGCCAACGCCTCAGGCACCGCCACTCCACGGGCGACCAGACCCAAGCTCAAAGGCGATAGATCCGAGCCATTGGACATTGGATCTGGCAATACCAGGGCCAGAAAACGCACCACCAGCCACCGGCCCATGCTCCCCTTACCAAGCGACCAAGAGCTCCGCCGAGAGAGAGGGAGGCAGGAATCCCAGCCACCACCATCCTTGCTCCACGTCGGACCTTCGGCGCCAAACTCTGGTGGTAGACGGGCTGAGGAGGCGGGAGAAAGGAGTAGCAGTGGAGGCGGTGGTGCCGCCTGAGTCGGCCCTAAGGAGGAGAGTGACGCGGGGGCTGAATGGTCTATTCCAATCATGTATGTTATGTTTATAAGGACGTTTTCACGTCTTTGAGTCCTTAGGCCCACATAGCTTCATTTTACTTGTAAAGCTATTTTTTCTTCGACCTAACGAACACCTCCATCAGTGTAGCTGATAGTGTTTTGATAAACTATTTAACAAAATAGAACTACGCATAAAGTTCCTTAAAACATGCTCTCACAGAACCACATAGGGCCCACCAGAGTGAGTGGGAGCTAGGAGAAGCTACTATTTTCAACTTGTGATAGCACATTTGAGGAACTTCTTAAGTAAAGTTATTTCATTTTACCCTGTTTGGCACATATAGCTCCAAACAACTTCTGTAGTTGTGGGAGGAGCTGTGTCAAACAGGGTCTTACAAAAATGGCTTCCCCTCCTCTGGACTCATTGTAAGGAGTCGTTTATTAGGTGGTTGTTTGTTATGACTCCATAATAAGAGCTGCAAGAAGCACCAGCATGGCCCTATATCACAGGCTTAGGTGTCATTGGGCTTCTTCCCGGAGGTCTAGCTACATCGTTTGGTCTACAGATAATATGGACAAGCAAGGTTTGGTTCACAAGTAATTTTGAGAGGGATATCCCACTGCATGAGAATATTCTCGATAGATGCTACATAAGCTTACCCGTAAAAATCCGCTGGACAAGGTTGTCCATGGTTTCTAAACTCATTAGTAAATAAATAAATTATTAGTAAGCTATCTTATTATTCAGTAATTATGATACCAAGATTAATTTCGATAAGTGTCAATATGTTCATTAGTTCATGTTTTGTGTGCCAATTAAGGTACTAGTGGTGCTAATTAATATTTTTTTTATTTTAATTAGTGATTATATCATGAAAAAAATTAGTTCTAGTGCATATTTATTATTGTCTAATTAGTTGTTATTATTTTTAAATAATAGATAATTAGTCAACTGTTCTTATCTCATTCACTGTCATCTATCCAGCCAAATATAAAAAAAATGACTCGTTCCATGTATCTAACCAAAAAGGCACTATGGATAATCTCATCCCAAAATCTATTAATGATCATACCCATCTAACTCTGCTCTCGAACCAAACCAAATGTACCATAGTTTGCTCGTGTTAGGGAGGTCTTAGTTCCTCCAATCTATGTGGCTGGTACTTTTTTTGGGGACCGACATATTTTCACAGCCGTGTTTGACCTGCCCAAATATGTTTCTTGCTTCTCTTATCCGCAGGGATGGACCCAGGATCCGGCAACCCTGGGCCCTGCCCAGGCTCATCTTCTATTGACCCTTAAGGCCCACTACATCTTTCAAGCTGCAACCGTGAGCCTTAGTGGGACACGAAGAGCGAATTTATGTGCGATGACAAAAGCGAGGCGACACATAGTGGCAGCAGCGGCGCTCCCAATTCCAAGAACTGCGCCCAAAGACCAAATCACCAGACATGGCTACGTGTTCACGATGTTCTCAACCCCAAATTTATTCATGTACGGCACTCCATCTTGTGGATCTAGCTCCTCCAGCAACAAGTATAGCAGTACGGTTCACAGGAGACATTTTCTCTCTCTCCTCATGACACTACTAAAAATATCCACTTCTATGACGAATAGATTTCATCAGTGAAGGAGACAAATTCGTCATAATTTCAGTTTTATGACGAATTTATGACGAAAACCGGTTCGTCATAGAAGTCGCACCACTCTTGCATATCTATAACGAATCTGACAAAATCATATAGAAGTGCCTTGATCTGTGACGAAAAACAGATCATCATAGACCTGTTTTGGCATGCGTGGCAGGGCTGCCACGCTGATGGACGCTTCCGTTGGAGATGTTTTTCACGTGTACATGCTATAGCCCACGTATACATGCTATAGCCCACGTGTACATGCTATAGCCGGTTACATTGGAGATGGTTCGGGTACGTGTCACCTTCTTATTGCACAACGTGGCCATCACCGGTTCTTGCACGTTTCAGGTTTCTATTGGACCACGTGTTATTTCCCTGTTGTTCCACATGTCTGTTTTCTACTAGCACACATGTGGTGTTGTCATTGGATCACGTGTCACTTCTTCATTGGACCACATGTCGTATTTTTATTGGTCCACGGGTCACTATGATGTCCGTCTACGTGTCGTATTTTTATACGTCCACATGGCTTGACGATTTCCTTTCACGTGTTAGATTTTTAATAGCCCACGTGTCGTACCCTGGCCAAATCACGTGTCACACATTGGTTATTTGATCACGTGGCCTGTCCTGGTTCTACCGCGTGGAGTACACTCAATTCGTCATAGAAGTAATTCGAGATCGTCACTACTGCACAGACTGACTACATAACTATTTAGCCTGGCAATCAAATAACAACAATTTACATTTCACACATCAGCAGCGAACCACTGATAGAGTATCACCACGTTAAACCGGCATACGAGTCTACACATCAAATCGGCACATGCGTCCACACATCAAACCACAAATGTTCACTGCATCAAGCCGCATGAGTTGAAGACTAAGAGTTACCAGAAGAGCTGAAGCGCGTGCATAGCTCACGGAGATTGTTGTACTCCTCCTATTGATGTTTCTTGTATTC